GGGGGGGAGAGCGACATTAGGGAGACAAAAACTGAGGGAGTTATCACAATCATTTTAAAAAGAGACAGTAAACACCTCAAGAAAACGGGAGGGTACATTTTGTTGTGAGTCGAGAAACATCTTGTTTGTGGTTTTTCTTGAAGGGTGACCGAATGACCTTGTCATTTTCTTTCTCTCTCTCTCCCTCTCTCTCTCGGTTGACGATTCGCTTTCATTTATTCTGCTCTTAGTCAGCTGTCTTACGTTTAGTTCGTTCATTCGTTCAGCTGTCCATCCAACTGTCAAATGACTCTGAATCTAACTTGATGTTGACTCGTCTCTAACCTCCACCCTTCAGTCCTATTCTTTCCTCCTCAGCCTTGTCATCACAATCTGCCATTGGATGAATAATTTGAAACTCAAATTTCCATTAATAACGCTCAACTTAATATTCTAATAAAGCCAATTGTCGCCTTAATTAAATGTTATTTCCATGAAGAAATATTCATATTTAGAAAATTTCCCTCCTCCTCCTCCTCACTTTAGGGAATCAAAAGTTGTTCTTTCTGATTACGAAAAATGCGTCACTGAAAGAAGGAAAGAAAGAAAGGTTCCTGAATTAAAATTTTTGATCAAAGTGAATGATGCGAATTAGGAGGGAGCATTGTGATAACTCCTTTTTTTCCTAACCAGTATCTGTTTAGGTCATTTTTATCTACATCTCCTCTTTAACTGATTTTCCTACCACTCCTCCCTTAATTGTCTAAAACATCATCATCATCATCATCATCACCACCACTATCGTCGTTATTATCATTCACATCAATAATTTACGCCCTGTAAAGGGTACATTTTACTCATCTGGGGGGGGGGGGGGGTTGATTGGTAGGTACAATTCGTTTTATCTTTATCGTTAATTACCGTGCACCAGAAAGTTATCAAAGACCCCTGTGTTTGATAGCCCTTCTGGCTCCTAGAAGGCCCTTTTCTGGCCTTTCTCGCTCATAAGTTTAAAGCTCTCCCTTTCCTCAAGGGGGGAGACGCCTTGTTTTTATTTAAAATAAATAAATAGGAGGAAAGAGACTGCGTTACCAGCGGAGAGAGAGGAGGTACCCAAGGAACATAGATAATTTGTACCTTAGGTGGAGGTTGTATTCAGGTGTTTTTCTTTGATATTACAGCATTTGCCCATTCCAGTGCTCCCTCTCTTTGGCGTTCTTCTTTTGAAGAGAAAGGGAGACACCGGGGGGGGGGAGGGAGAGGAGGGAGGGAGTTAACCACTTCTACTCTCCTTTTTTTCCATTCAACCCCATTTTACACCTGCTTTTGGCGAGAGATTCGAACATTCTAATATTCCGCTTTTTCTTCTTACCTCGTTACCCTTTTCCCCCGTTTCTTTTAATTATACCTTTTTTTGTCGGAGGGAGATTAACATCACCTTTTAACAGTGGTGCAATTTTGTCTGGTCATTTAACAGCGTAAATCACCCTTTAGACATACAGAGTACTTATTTCGGCCCTCCTGGAACATTCCTCTTTCGCCCATTTAGAAAAATAAAACGGCGCCTGTTTTTAGGACCTTTTCATGATTTTGGGACAATTGACAGAAGCCGTCAGTCTTTCCCGCTGCAATAAACTTTCTTCTGCCTTTTTATAAGCGTCAAATATCCGTTATTTAGATCATCCGTATATTTGCCGAAACCCTTTTCTTCTTCTTCTTCTTCTTCCTCCTCGTCTTCTTTTCTTCTGTCTGTTCTGCCAAAAGACCGAGTTTTTGTATTCGAATTCCTGCCCCATTTTAACAAGTGATTGACACGCGGAAATACCTATTGTTTGGAGAGATTAATGCTATTCTGGACCGAAGTCCGTAAGATTGAGAGGGGTTTACAGTAGTTTCTTGCCATAACTTATAATTTCATCACAGTCCGCTGATTCCAAATGAGGAAACAGGATGACTAATGTTTTGCCAATCTTACCTGACTACGACAGGATGAAAAAAACCTGACGACAATATGGTGCCTCTCTTCAATATTCAATCCTAATTTTTGATTGACAAAGGAATTGACTGTGGAACAAGCCTATAGTTACTTCCCGTTTTATACCATTCTCTGCCCAAGCTACTTCTTTCTCGTCTTCCTCTTTTCTTTCAATTTTTTCCCCTTATTCTGCCCTTTTTTTGTCGAGAAATTAATATCAAAATTCAGGAAAGTTGGTGAAGTATATATATATATATATATACATAATTTTAGGGAGAAAGTTGGTCGAAATGTGGTACGGAGTAAGTTGTGTTCTTCTCTTCCCTTCAACATCGCCAACTTCAAAAGCTCAAGTCGGCAAACAAAACACAGACAGATGAACCAGACAGACCCGATGTGTGTGTGTCTACGTCTAATCTTCTGCCTGGTTGTATATCTTGCCGAGGTAGAGTGAGAGAGGGAGAGAGAGAGAGAGATGAGAAAAGGACCATTCACTAATCAGGCTGCTGCTGGTCTAGACTAGACTAGACTAGACTAGCCCAGAGCAGACGGACAACAGACATACAAGCGTGCGTATCCAGAAGGCAAGAGAAAGTATGGAATACGCACGCACACTAGACTTCCCCCGTAATTATCGCTGCAACTTAATCTTCGGACGACGGGCAGAAGTTATATGACCATGATGTCTAGCCACCCCATACACTACTTCTAAGAAGAGAGAAATGTTTATGGAAAACTTTATCTCAGCTCTCCTGACAATCCTCTTAAACCACCAAAGGCTTTAAATCTCCCCAAGGTAAAGAAAAGCGAGTTAGTGGGGGGGGGGGGAGGTGAAGAGAGAACACAAAGATCAAAGAAGCCTATCGCTGTTCCATCTCACTCCCTTTCGTTTATAGCACATTTATCTTTCGCTTTCTCTCTCTCTCTCCCGCTCTCCCTCCCTCTCCCCTTCTTTTCTCTGCCCTGCCAGTGAGAAGTCCCGCTAAAAAAGTAAAGGAGATTAAAGCTCCACAGAATCCCACTCCCCCATTTAGTTCTGTACTTTTATCCCCAACTTTTATGCCTAGCTTTTTTTGTTTGTGTGTTTCACAAAAAGGAAATATGAAATTTAATTGATGTTTTTGACCCCAACAAGATGTGGACCAATGAACGACTACCACGCAAAATGTGATATAGTCCGAAAAATCGATGTTCCTTAAGTTAAGCCATGAGCATCGAGGTTAAAAAATCAATGTTAATTATGGTATTCAGTTTGTCGACAAGTGAAGGTATATACTAGATAAGTCAATATTACTTTCGTTGTTATTTTAGGGTGAAGTCAGAAGGTTCGCCAACAATGGAAGATGCGGTGAGATGTATGGTGGATGATATTTCGGCAGCAACCTCTAAAGCAAATAGCAGCCACGGACACCATTTCCATCCATCTAATCACCACCAGGGGCAGCAACAACTTCCCTCTCATCTCACCCCTCCTGGACCCCCACCCCTTCCTCTTCCTTCTGACGACTTTCCTGCGAACACTTTCAATGCCGCGAGATCTGTAGCGGCGGCAGTGTCAGCAGCTTTAGGATTTCATTTTCCCCCACCTGATATGTTTAACCTAAATCCCCCTCAACCATCATCCCAAACTCCTTCATCCCTATCCTCAAAGATTAATGGAATTCCAGGCAGCCCCGAATCTCACAATTCCAAGAGTACAGCAGAAGACTACGCTTCTAGACCGTATCGTTGTGCGACTTGTGGTAGAGGATTTGCAGTCAAAGCTGGTCTAATGCAACATCTTCGAACTCACACCGACGAAAGACCATATCCATGTCCTGAATGTGGACGAGCCTTTAAACAAAAGATCCAGTTGACAACTCATATGCGGGTCCATTCAGGAGAACGGCCTTACGGGTGCCGAATCTGCGGAAAGCTCTTCCGCCAACAGAGTCATGTTGTGCAGCACCTAAGAACACATACTGGTGAGAAACCACACAAATGCACACGGTGTAACAAGGCTTTCCGTCAGAAGTACAGTTTGATCTCACACCAACGTCGAATGTGCCAGAGTAGATCAAATTCCAGTTCAGCTCTGATGGCTGGAATGACAATGTGGATAGGCCCTGGCGGCCGAGCAGCCGAAAAAGCAGCAGCGAAAGCTGCAGCGGCCGCTCTTCAAAATGGACTTCGATCGGCACATTCCGCAAACCTTCCACCACCTCCTCTTTGTAATTCCACCTCCCCCATATCTCTTCCCTTCTCTGCCCCTCAACCCGCTTCAAATGAACGCAATTCCTCACCAGTCATCCCAACAAAGATGGAAGATAGGGTATCCTCTAGCCCTGCAAGTTCTCACGGAGCAGATGTAGGAGGAAATAACAGCTCATTCCGACATCCTTCTCCTCATCTTAAGCACTCTCCTACTGGTGGGCTGAACTCTGCAGCATCTTCAGCAGGAAGATCTTTCCATGAAAATGACTATAGCATTGCTACTACATCCTCTACATCCTCTTATCCCTCTCCATACCATTCCGGAGCGACAGATCTCCGTATGAATACCGGAAATGGTGGATCTACTTCAGAAAGTGCGTTCCCTTCACGTCTTGATGATACCCCGTCTGCCACACCAATGGAGACAGCTGGTGTATAAGAACAGAGGTGTTAAGGTCAATAGAGTATAAGGTCATGTCAACGTGTTTTTATGTATACCAATTCATCCCTGATTAATCCCATGTCCGTTTATTTGTGCTGCATTTCTGTCCCTCCTCTCCCCTATCCTCTGTCCCGATCATCACTCGACCTCCGCTTTGGTTCTCTGCATTTATCGCTGATGTTGAGAATGGCACGAACATTATTACCACCACCGTGTACCTATATTTATTGCGCCGTTTTATCGGTATTATGTCTGCCACCCTCCTCCCCATCACCATTCTCCTCTCCCATCACTCTATCAACCCTGTGAAACTCACTCGAATACTATCAACAACAAAGACAATGCTCTTTGTTTGAATTATACCAAAAGTAAAGCATTTTTACGAGCGAGAAATAGAATGTTATTTCTTTGACTTTGGATTGGGTCATTGGAGTAATTTGGAATTCGGAAAACCTTTTGAACCGCAAAACAGTGTCGAAAAAATAAAATCTATCCTAGTTGGAGATTGATTGGTATTGATGTAGAGCCTATGCTTAAGACTGAAAGTCAAGCCTTAAAATCCTAATGCATTATTACAATTAGTGATAATATTGTAATCCATTGTGATTGTCATTAGAATTTTTATGGAATGGGGTGCACTAGGAATTTCAAGTAGCTGAATGGAGATAGAAAGTTGAAGAACCTGAAAGTACATCATTCTGTTGAGGTAAGTAAAATGGGTGAGATTTGCAAAACTTCTATTGTAGCACATTGCAATGATACTTATAGTAATAATAATTCCAAATCCTGTTTTGTGAGCATTTTTCACTCTCATCTTAGATATTGAGTGTTATCATGGAGGCTAACAATCATCTGTAATTGCCAGGCTTATCCAGCCCGGTGGTCATTCCACTCACTGGATGTGGGCCGAAAGAAATCGAATTCCCGACGTCCAACTTGGTAGACAGACATGATGACTGGTGCTCCGCCGATTCAAAATGGAGTAATTTATTCTTATTACCCACAGATTTAATTGACTCTAAATGACTTCCTAGAAAGTGTAGTAGTTGAACTATCTGAAAATTCTGACCAAAGTTAGCCGTATTCACTTCAATGTGATATTAGTGAAGGTAGTTCATTTTCACTTTCAAAAGTGTTCCATTTAGAGGGTGTGCGATAGACTTAGCTCCCTTGGAAACGTATGCTCATACGGCAAAAAGTCTATCAACCGGCAGTTGGCTTCGGTCTTCCAACTACCATCACCCCACTATATGCCATATTCGACCCCTTCCACAGTACTCAACCTACCATTTCTCTGTCTTTGTGTCTGTCAGTCAGTCAGTCTGTCTGTCTGCATGTCTATCTCTTCTACATCTGTGAATCATTATTCTGTTCCCCCTCTCGCCTTTTTGTTACTTTGATGTTCCTCCTCCTCTCTGTGAAGCCCGAAATCAGCTATAGGGCAAATGATAACTATCAAAACACCTGCCATTTGATATAAATAAATATTCCATTTAGTCGGTTCAATGTAACTATCCAGTTAATGCTTAAGTCTAAGCTATGTGCTGAGTAGAAAGGTAAGTAGTTTTGATATTTCAAAGGTTAAAAGATGCAGCGAACTATGAAATATCAGTGATCAGTTTAATTTTCCATCCAAATCATTCGTTACTTAGCGATAAGCACTGACATTGTGATCTCTGACTTAATAGATTTCCACGTTAGCTATCGCACCCCCATCAACTGACAACACTTTTTAATCGTAATATTATATTAAATAGTATTTTTTTCTTACTTGTATATTTTCTATTGAAAGCCTAAGGTAAATAAGTATGATTAGCAACTAACTCAAATAGTGATTATCATGCAGGGAAGTAATAACGATTTCTCTTTCTGAAACTCAAGCTTCTATTTAATGTGAAACAGAAAAGAATCTACTGAAATGCCAATTCCTCTTTGTGATCGTCTTTTCCGGCGAATGGAGTGATGTGTGCCTCCTGATTGGTAGTCAAGTTCTCTGGCCCTCTCTTTCAATTTGGGAAGAAGTTGAATGACATTTCATTACTTCCACCACCACCGCCACCATGGAGCGATTTTTAACCATCATGTCTAAGCGCTCAGTTGGTAGGAATTAAAGAAGTGTATGACTTGATTTGTGGGAAATCCCCATTTTCACTTTTTCATATCAAAGTAGAATAGTTAAGATAACTGAATTCGATAAGGAAATGAAATGCTCTGATGTCAGTTGTAATTTTTTTCTGCCTAATGGAATAAGGAATGTACAAGCGAAAGCAAACTATGCCTTTCCAAATAGATGAATCAATATGGAATGTGATCTGGGGTACGCAATAGACTTACCTCCACTAGGCGCACCCTGGGTAAAAAGGTCTATAAACCGGCAGTTGACTTCTGACAGCAAACTACCATGACCGCCTGCATGTCATATTTGACCACTTTCACAGTACTCACATTGCCGTTTTAACTGCCTTGGTGTCTCTCTGTCTGTCTGTCTCTTTTACATATATGAATCTCTCTTCCATTCCCCCTCCCATCTCGACTTTTTGTGACTTTGATGCTTCTCCCACCCCCCTGTGAAGCCCGAAGTCAACTAAGGGGTCATTGCTAACTATCATACAGCCTGCCATTTGATATTTAATACTTATTATTATGTAAGCTATCAATTGTGGTATGAATAAATATGTATAAAACATTAGCGAGAATGGGGAAAAAATCAACTATACTTATGTGGTAAAGAAACTGATTTCAAATTGTGTCGGGTCAATACCAAGATCCTGTAATTCATGAATGCATTTTACTTGGCCATATTATGCCTTAACTTAGACAGCAATTCTTTAATAGTCTGAAACTGGTCAATAGTTGAATACACAATCACTTCTATCCCCCTCCATTGATGTGGGAATCTGGTTAAAGTACTTTTGGGGATGAAATATGAGGTCTGGTAATGCTTCAAGCCCGATGGCTGTGCATTAGCAAAATCGAGTCGTTGGGATGCGTAGGAAGGGGAGGAGGGGGGGGGGGAGACTTCATTCATGGCACACTGATATTTACCTTTCCCTTTGAGAACACGTGAAGTAAATATTCATTACATTGGATTTGCGTTGAAGTTCTGATTATCGGCAAAGTGTTGTTAGAAAAAGTAAGCTGAATTCAAAAGGGTAATATTTCGGAACAAGGGGTGTGTGATAGACTTACCTCCACGTGGTGCACCCTGGGCAACGTATACGCATACGGTAAAAAAGTCTATTACCTGGCAGTTGACTTCTCACTTCCGACTACCATGACCCCACTGTATGTCATATTCGACTACTTTCACAGTACTCATCCCACCTTTTTTCCACCTTATCTACCTTCGTCTTTGATACACTCTTCTGTCCGCCCCCCTCTTGAATATTTTACACTTTGATGTTCCTTCCCCTCTGTGAAGACTGAAGTCAACTAAAGGGTTAATGATAACAATCAAAACGCCTGCCATTTGATATAATAATAATACTAATATTTCGGATCAAATATGGAGAAGTCCTCTTTCATTATGGATTCCCAATCAATATTCAAAGTGGTCTCTACGTGCTTTTGGTGTAAATTAATCAAACTAAAGTATTTGAGGCCATTTTAGAGGAAGGAATAGAATCTGTACGATACTAAAGAAGATCCACTGTGAATTCTTGATGGAAACTCGGCATTTGAGTTTAGAAAAGGATTTAGCTATTCTCTCGGCTTTCATGTTTCACATATATTGAACCAATAGCAAGACAATTATCTTATAGTTGAAGCGCCTATTCTTTGGGGCCTCCCAAATTTTACCTCTC